TTTTTAGGTTAACTCTTGCATTCGTTAAAAATAAACTTTTTCACATATCGTTTAATTTGAGGTTAGAATTGTCATTTCATTTATCCACAAAACATTCCTCATTAAAACAGTCATTAACCAGAGTTTAACCATATATTAATTTTAATATTAAAACAGTCATTTTCTGTATAATTCAACACCAAAACGTTCATATTTATTTGATTCTGAAAATAAAAATACTGTCATTTTTTCATATCTAATAATCGTTCAATAACAGATCTGTTTAAACATTTCAAAATAATGTTATGCATGCAAATGTGTAAATCGTGTAATTTGTGTAAAAACTTGCAAGTTAGATGTAAAACGTTTTACTTACTCAAACTAATCGTTTTTTACCTTTCAGTGTATGTTACGGTCAAAAATTCGCTTTTGCTTTTCACTTGGCTTTTAAGTTGATACCCATTTTTCTTTGTCAAACTATTCTTTATTTTTATTACCTTTGTAGACACAATCGTTATATATATATTTATTTTATTTTAATCCAAATTCCTTTCGTTAACAGTCGTCGAAGAAATTAGTTTTCTGGAATTTTCATTCTCCTTCGTAAACAAAATGCTTTAGCCACAGTCGTCTCGTGCCGTAGCAAAAATCATTCGTTCGGTAACATATTTTCTTCTTTAAAGGGCCTTTTTGAAATCCTTTCTGTCTTAAACACTTCGTTTCCAATCGTTAGAACACTTTTTATAGTCCTGAGCATACACTGTATCACAATGGCTTCCGCGCAACAAGTCCATGCACGTTGCGAGCACGCCGTACGCGACGAACCGAATTTTCGTTAATTTTACCGAAAACTACATCCAGCGCAGTGGAAGCGTGCTGGGCCCATAACCTGTTGGCATGCAGATTATTTAGAGCAGGATGTAGTCACTAAGAACACACAAATACGGAAGAAATCGGTCGTTTATTAAGAGCTCGTTGACAATCGAGACGTTCACTGTCGAAGCGATATTGAGAAGAAGAAGGAGTGCGTGCGCACACGGCAGTGACGTAAAATCAACTACTGTTAGAGTCAAGCGAGATATTAGGCGCGAATATACAATATTTCAACACTAGTAAATTCATTATTTATTGTTAATTGTAAAGTTCGACAAAAACATGTTACTCCAAGAAGGAAGCATTTAAAATAACCTATAAAGTTAATTTTTTATAATTTAAAATTTAATTTCATAAAGTTGTAATTTAACAAAAATTAAATAAAAAATTTGTCAATATAAAAAACAATTTTTGAAATGCAAATTATTTTAGAAACAAATTACAAAAAATTGAAATTCTAATAAAATTTTTTTTCTAATATTCTTTCGATTTTTGTGATTCCAAAAGATATTCAGTAAACTCATTAAATAAGTTTTTAATACAATAAAAATTAGTAAAGCTGACATTAGTAAAAGTATTAACTTTGTCGATAATTTAAAACATTGTTTTTTCAATGCATTACAAATTACAATATTTTTTTAAAATGTTTAATGTAGACCTAAATATTTCTGTTTGTTCTAGAATTGTCAGTTTTAAAAATTTATCTTAGAGGAGGTTAAAATATCCGTCATTCGATTCAACCTTCGGACTATAATTGTTTTCGACTAGTGATTTTGGAGTTTCAGCGCTTTTTTAAAATTTAATTTCCTCGTTTTAACAATATTAATTCGTTGAAATTCTTTGTTGTAGATGTTACAGCTTTTGTACATTTAGACATTTCTTTTTCAAATTAAATTTCAGTGGATTGTTTTTCTTTGCAAAATTATCAGATGAAGGCACTACTTTTCTATCATCTGTACGATGTTTAACGACCTCTTTAATAAAATCATTTTTAGTTCTAATATGTTTATCATTGGTTCTTTTCCGATTTATAGGAAAATCGTTAAAAAGAAGAAGGTTTAGGATTCTTTTTCCGTTTTTCCATTGTTGACTTGCTTTTTGTTTTATTAGTTGTTCGACGCCTGTTTACAGAATAAATATTAAATTTGTCAAGACTTTGAGAAGTAGATTGTACAGGAGTAATGGTGTTCCGACAGCTGGATGTTACTGACAAAGAGTTCAAAGTAGATAAAGATTTTTGTAATAAATTTTAAGCTTCTTCTTGATTAAAGTCGAAATCGTTAACCCCTTAACGCCCAAATGTGCTGATTTTTAACTTCGGTTTCAAGCTCATAATATTAAAAGCAAAAAATCATTAACAATTCTATAAGGACATATCCATACGTTTCTGGGGTCGCTCTTTCGAATGGCATGGTTAAAATTTCCAAAAAGTGACGTTTAACCCTTATTTTTTCAAAAATATGCAAAAAATACAAGATTTTGGAAAGTAATTTTTTTTCAGATCCAATTTTAGTTGTCATATCGATTTTTTCAAGTCATCTAAGGTGTAAAAAACGTATTTCCGATAGTATTAGTTTGGAAATATGCTTTGCGTTTTAAGATTTTTGGTATTTTTTTATTCAAAATGGCACCTGAAAATATACAATTTTCCAAAATTTAACACAGGATGGATACAATTTTCAAAAGTTAATGAAACCGCTTGAAATTTGTTACTCGGGGGTTTTCGGGGTCTCTGATTACGAATCTGAAGTCAGATTTAAAAAATTAAAAATGCCGGATCACTTAGGTACCATTTTCTCGAAAACCACTTAACGGATATAGTTTTTTAAAAGTAATTGTCCATTAATGGACTGTAATCTGGTCTTTTGGTTTTACAAATAAATTAGTTTATTTAAAAATGTTTGCTTATTTAACAAAAAAATCAAGAAAACGGGTAATTATTTTTTCAAAATGGCACAGGAAATTCAAAAATAAATATTTGTCTTCATCGAACGATCAGATTTTAGTCCTTTGTATATAAAATCAGCAGAAGAAAGTGTGATAAAAAAATTATTTGGAATTGAGAAAATGGAACTTAAAAATAGGCTTATTTTAATGGAATTTTACAACTGCTTATGCCCCCTCAACAAGGAATTAAAATTATGATCTGCCTCAGAAAAAATATCATCGGACTTACAATCAGATTTAGCATCGCCATCATGCAAGTAAGATTCGCCAGAATTATTAGCGGATGAAACTATGTTGGCATTGATATATTGGGTCGTCCGTCATTTAAAGTTTTTAAATTCTGACTTCAGATTCGTATTTAGCGATTCCGAAAACCCCTCGAGTAACACATTTAAAGCTAATAAATGAAGTTTTAATATTGTTCTCCACCCTATTGGATCCGCCATTTTGAATTTTTCAAATCTGTCTCCAGATTCGTAATCAGCTACCCACAGTTGGCTTCAAGTAAATTTAGGTTTTGCAAAAATGGTGACGAAATCGGATAGTGGTATTTCAATCCTGTATATTAAAAGCTTTGAAAATTGTAAAAACGAAAATCGTAGCTGATCCTGTTTTCGAGTTATTGTCAAATTCATTTGGATTAAATTTAAGTGAAATTTATTTTTAAAAATTATACAAGTTTTTGTTTATTTTACATAACTAGCTCTTTGTCGACCGCTTCGCGGTCCACTTCTTTGCTTCCTCCTTTTTTCTATGACAAATGTTCCTTTTATTTAATTTTAAATTCTTTATTGTGACTCATTTAAAAATTACCTAAATTTTTATTTAATTTCTCTAAAGTAAAGTTAATTAAAATAAAAATTAACACTTCATAATGATATTGAAAACAGCGACTGTAGCTCCAGCTTCTAACTATGTGTGAGTTTTTATAGTACAATATTCCATTTGGATTTGTGCCCTTCTATGTTTTATTTTCATTGCTATAACTGCGAGAGTACATTCGATTATTTCGATTTAAATTCGAGATTTCTCACTCATGCGTTTTTTCTAAAGGATTCGTTTAATAAGAAAATTGAATTATTTAGTTACAATAAAGTATTATAAAAATTTGATGTCAGATTTGTAATCAGCGACCCCAAAAACTCCCGAGTAGGTAACAAATTTCAACAAAATCCAATAACTTTTTAAATTTTCGTCAGCCATATTAAATTCGCCATTTTTAATTTCTGAAATTTGATGTCAGATTCGTAATCAGCGACCCCAAAAACTCCAAAGTAATAAATTTCAACAAAATCCAATTACTTTTTAAATTTTAGTTCACCATATTGAATCTGCCACTTTAAATTTTTGAAATTTATGTCAGATCTGCCATTTTGAATTTTTAAATCTGTCTTCAGATTCGTAATCAGCGACGCCAAAAACCCCCGAGTAACAAATTTGAAGACAATACGATGATTTTCTAATATTGTCCTCTGCCATATTGGATCCGCCATTTTGAATTTTTTAAATCTGTCTACAGATTCGTAATCAGCTACCCCAAAAACCCTCGAGTAAAAAATTTAAAGCTAATACGATGAATTTTTAATATCGTCGTCCGCCATATGGAATCCGCCATTTTAAATTTTTAAAAATTGGACTTTAGATTCGTAATCAGCGACCCCGAAAACCCCAGAGTAACAAATTTCAAACGATTTCATGAACTTTTGAAAATTAAAGGCATGGTCAATGAAACAGTAGTAGGGTCTGGTGTGGATGACAGCATTAGTTATCCCATATTATTCAATTCTTGATCGGAATTTCGACAAGATGAAACTAAAGAGCTCGTAGATTGTGCAAGTTGATGAGAAAAAGTAGGTAATTACCGTCGTAATTACTCGTCGTTTCTTAAAAATTTCACGAACTATTTGGTTAAAATTGTTATTCAATGCTGAATAATCTAAAAGAGACGAAAATAAATTTGCCAAATATTGAGTGCCATAATGAAAATTTTCTTGAAATTTTAATTGTTGATTTGATATAAGTTCCGATTCAGATAGTGACAAAATTTTGGCTCCACAATTAATAGCATGGCAACTGCTAGGTGATAATGGAGAGTCAGAAGCAGATGGAGTTTCAGAAGTCAAACTTACAATTTCTGGCTCGGTATAAAAATTGATAGGTACTCGACGTATGTTGTTGGTTGAAAGTCTATTTCTTATATTTAATTGTCCATTCTGTAATGATGAAGGCAAAGTATTTGCGAATGAAATATTAGAAGTTGTGGTCCAGTTGAAAGAATCTGATGTTGCATGTTATTTGAATGATGTCCGCTATGAAGAGTAAATGTTCTGAAATTAAAAATATATTTTCAAAAGTAGAAATATTGTGTCATAAATAAAATTCTGATTTATATGAAAAAAATTAAATTAAATTAATTAATTTATTAAATTTACAAAACATTGAAAAGAAAAGGCAAAATTTTTTTTCTTCCATAAGAATTGCATTGTGTCGTCTGCTTGATTTCCCTCCAGCTATCTAACGTCATACTCGAACTCAAAATATCTCGATGTAGTGACAATTTAGTGATAGGACCATAAAAAATCATCGAGTCGAATTGCTTGACAAAAATACCGAAGGTATAGAAACACCTTAAGATCCGACAACTCTTATATCTCCAACTATCTCACACCTATGGCTTAGTTTCCCTTACTCCTAAACACTACCGTTTGATTTTACCCTTATAGTCAAAAAGCCAAGTGCAACTTTGCCTATTTCACACACTCCCTACGACATATTAAACGTTTAATGGGTTATATAAATTTGAACTTTTAACAATTATCTTTAATATATTATTTATTCTAGTAAATTTGTAAATAAGAACGGTTTAATTTAATTGTCAGTTTATTCTTGTATGAAACTACTAGTGTCGCCGGGGTTGGTTTGATTCCATTATTACATAGGTTGTGGTTGTGTTGTTAAAAAAATGACTTTGTAAAGTGATAATTTATAAAATATGACATTTTAATTGAGAATTAGTATAAAAATTTTGATAAATCTACTGTTTAAATTGTACCAGAATCTTCATTAATCTCTCTCTGTACATTTTCATATAAAATTCTATTATATTTATGAAAGTTAAAACAATCATTGCACACTAGAAAGTGCCACAGTACAATAACATTCATCATTTAATTTTACACTTTGGAAAACCATTATAGTAAATATACAACGTCCGAAAAGGATTATAATATTTTTAAATATTTTCTTTTTTAGATAAACTCATTTTCTTACCATTTTTTTTAATATTTATCTTTATTTTTAATAATTTCAAATTTTTTTTTCAGTCGGAAGTGGAAAATTTGTGAATTCAGATACCTGAGCAACGAATTCCAGGTTATGTGGGGATGACCGCTCTTGTTTTGGTCGACCTACTAAAAACCACTCCCGTCTTGTTTTGGGACATTTGATCCACATGCGGTACTACCGTCAGGCCTTAAACTTCGCAAGTGGTTGTCCCCTTGTCCTACTCCTTAACGTGCCTTAAATCCGCTCATACAATGTGGGAGCGAGGGTGGGAGGAAAAACTGAATGTCTTCCTCCCCCCCTCGCTCGCACACCGATGCGCATTAAATTCCTCCGGTCAACCTCGTCTTTTGTCTCTATCTTTTTCCTTCATTATTTTAATAATGAAGGATTCAACTGCCGTAAACATGGCCATTCTATCATGGCTCCAGTGCCCGCAATAAAAGAGAGTATGCTCCGCGTCATCTACTGCAGCGTCACAGTAGGCGCATTTTGCTACTCTCTTAATCTTAAAACTATGAAGGTACTGTCGGAAACATCCGTGACCTGACAACACTTGTGTCAGGTAGTACCGTGCTTTCTTCCTAGCCAAGTGTCGAGGTCACGGATCAGGCGGTATGTCCACCTTCCTTTAAATACCCGTGAAATATGTGAAAATCTAAACATTGTAATTTTTTAATTTATTCCTTTAAATAAAATTTTTTTTAAATTGTTAGTAAGCAATAAAAAGCTACTGTAAAGATCATTTTAATTCGTTTATTCTTCTTCATAAAACATTTCAAAAACCTTTTAAATCAAGAATTTTTTAAAATCGCTTTCGTGCCTTTCTCTGGGTACATTTTGTAGTCAAACAAACTATACTAGGTTTTTTCGAGTTTATAGCAGGAGAAACAGGTCTAATAATTTGACTTCGGATACTATGAAAACAAACCTTATTTAAAAAATACACTATTTAACAAAATATTAACAATATTATAATTTACCTTGTAATTGATTTTGAAATACGATTAATATTAACAATATTATAATTTACCTTGTAATTGATTTTGAATTACTTTTATTTAAAAATTAGTACAGAAGCGCAATGTTTTAAAATGTTATACGTTAAGCCCGTTTAAATTTAATAAAATTTATAAATATTTCAAAGCAAATGTAGAATATAATAATATTATTGACTGTTATAGAATTTAATTAATTAATAATTTTGAAATTGACTCACAACATTATAAATTTAGTTACCAAGTTGTAGCGTATTACTTTTTTAAGGTTAAAATTCCTTCCAGTTGGACCTGTAAAAAGTTTAAAAATTTGTAATTAAATATACATAAAAATATTCAACTCAACTTTTTTTTATTATTTGTTTCTCCATGGAAGCATTCTTTTTTGATATTTTTAAATTTAATTTCTTATTAAATTTTTGTAAATAAAAATCAATACTTGGCGCATTATGTTTGTATATATACAACATTAACTAATTTATATATTCATATTTATTTATATCACTTGGTAAAAATTATATAATTAAATTAAGGGAGTATTCTGGTCTATAGGCCTCAATTTCAGGCGTTTTTCCGAGTAGAATAAAAAGGAAAGTTTAATATTTTTAGTATTTACTTTTCTTGCAAGTTGTTTATTAATGTTTAAAGAGTACAGAAAAAAATTACGAAACAAAATAATAAAAAAATTTAAAAGTTATAAACTGATGAAGTGGGGACTGAAAAAAAGAAAGTGCGTACTGGTTGACAGTGTGGAGACTTTTGTAATGTTCTAAAACAAAAAACTCAAAAAAATTCTTGATTATTAAAGGCTTCGCTATGGTCGGTACCTTGGAAAAGAAAAAATAAATTTTTTAGCAAAATGGCGACGATTTAAAAAAATGGTGTTTTTTGATTCTGTTTTTTAACTTTTTTGAATTTTTTAAAAATAGTAAAAAAAATATTTTTCAAAATCCAAGGTTCCGACCATAAAGAGATATACAAAGAACATTTCTGTAAAATTTGGAGTAAATCGGTTGAGTAGATTTTGAGTTATCGTGTCAACAAGAATTTTTTTCAATTCCCACTTCACCAGTTCATAACTTTTAAAATTTTTGATTATTTTTTTTTCTAATTTTTTTCTGTATTCTTTGAATATTAATAAACAACTTGCAAAAAAAGTAAATGTTAAACTTTCTTTTTTATCCCACTCGGAAAAACGCCTTAAAATTGAGGCCTCTAGACCAGAATACCCCCTTAATAACAATTGTTTATCCCACATGCACAAAAATGACGCTATTAGATAGCTGGCGACAGGGCGTATTTGTTCATTTGTTCGACCGCATAAAAATAGCGTTCAATTTTACTCTAGGGCAAAAATAACGCTGCTTTGATACGATATTTTAGCCCCAGGGTAAAAATGAACGCCACTTTCATACAAGTTGAACAAGTGAATGACTTTTATATGCCGAGCCTAATGCTTATATTTCAGTAGAGTATTATATTTTTATCTAGACAAAGCGTTGTAAAGGGGTACTAAAATATTGCCTTGAAGGTTTCATTGATTGAATGGCCGCTGCTCATCATAGTTAGGTAGATATTAAATAGACATTATGTGAATTGTAATTAAAGTTCATAAATCAGCCAAACCCTGTCGAAAATATTGAGTTTAACTAATTTAATGAAACTCCTTATAAACCTTAGGAGTGAATCATGGTGTTCCCTTTCTTGATCAGTCAAGTCTATTATCACGGTGAGCTAGGACTAAGTTCAACCCAAAAAATCTTGCCCTTCCAAAGTTTTTTCTGGTATCCTTTAAGTAAAGCAATACGATAATTTTAAGACATAAATTTAAAAAAACGGTCGATGAAATTTCGAATTAATTCAATTTTTCGACTAGTATTTAAGATTATTGTATAGGTACATTTTATTCAAATTAAGGTCTACAAATTTCAGTTTAAATTAGAATTTCTTTTTAACATCGACAAAGATTTTCTATGACAAAAAGCACTGAAAATTACTTTAGAACTCCAAAAAATTACAAAATTGATATAGAAATTGTCGCTTATCATCAATTACACCGGCACAAAAAAAATTGGATTTCCAGGACTGCCATGTGTTAGGTTTTCTTTTTTAAGGTGTATCTAAAGAGAAAAACATTGTCCGACCTAAAAGTTAGTTCGTGTTCTCTTTTTACAGGCTTGGTGGGGGGGGGTGAAGTTTGAGAAACTGATTTTTATGGGAATTTACTTAATTTCTATAAATAAAGCTGAATTTTTGCTTCTTCTGAATGTTTTTTTAATTCAGTGACTTTAATAACATAAGAATTGAATATATAAAAATAAATAAAAATGGCGGATTCAAAATGGCGGATCTAAAATGGTGGATTTAATAAAAATTGTCCAGATTTCCTTGAAACTTGTTACTCGGGGGTTTTTGGGGTCGCTAATTATAATTATGAAATTCAATTTTCAAAATTCAAAATGGCGGATTTAATACGGCGGACAAATTTCCAAAAACTTATTAGATTCTATTGAAACTTGTTACTCGGGGTTTTTTTGGGTCGCTGATCACGAATCTGAAGTCCAATTTTCAAAATTCATAATGGCGGATCCAATATGGCGGACAAATTTTTAAAAACTTATTAGATTCGTTTCAAACTTGTTAGTCGGGGTTTTTTGATTCGTCATGACGAATTTAATGGACAATTTTCAAAATTCAAAATGGCGGATCCAATATGGCCAACAAATTTTAAAATAAAAACTCTTCGGTCCGTTGAAATTAGTTGATTACGTTTTCTAGCTATTAAAATGTTCAAATTCTTTCTAATGATGCCCGTTTTTCACCATGTAGAGGTAAACGTGAATTGGATAGTCTTTTTAAAAAATTTTTTTTACTTTTTCTTATTTATAATATTTAGATTTAAATTTTAAAAAAACTAAATTTAAATGCTTGTTTAACTTTTTTTAATACTGTTTCTCCGATCCAGAGAAAATGAATATAACTGGTCAGCCATATTGGGAATGTTTAACAGTTTACTATTCTCATAGAAATTTCTCTAAAATCACAAATGGCAAATTTACTTTTCTTATTTCTAAATACGCATTAATTTACTAATTTTACATTTTATTAGTCATAACATGAGAGTTATAATTAACAGAATGTAAATATATAGTTTGAACTTCAATTTAAAAATATTTTTATTACCCCAGTGTTATTTTGAGGTTCTGTTGTTTTCAAAAGGTAGTGCAAGAAATATCGTTTTTGCTAGATCAGCGAAAATGGATTATTATCGATGGAGCCAAATCAGTGAAACGTTTAGCTATTATAATGATTGTTATCTCTACTTTATGAGAACCTTATTTACCGTGTTCTACTCAGTTTTCGAAGATTTCACTAAACTCAGAAAAATGAATGAGCGACTACTCAGAGAAAAATGAAGATTTTTTAACTATTGACATTTTAGAGAAAAAATTATCTTTTAATGTTACATGACGTCAAATATAGCTTAAAACGGGTTTTTTTGCAATTTTAGGTTAAAATATCTCGAAAACCTGACATGTTGGGTCTATTCTAAGGCCGGATTCGGATTCAACACATCGAAAACCTTTGAAGAAGTATTGTCCTACTGTTGGTTAGTAAATCTTGTTGGCCTGTGTCACAAACAACTCCTAGTTCTAAAATTTTTTAAAAATTGATGATAAACGACAATTTCTATATCAATTTTTGAATTTTTTGTGGTTCTAAAATAATTTCCAGTGCTTTTTTCATAGAAAATCTTTGTCAATGTTAAAAAGAAAATTCTAATTTAAACTGAAATTTATTGACCGATTTTTCCATTTTTGTCTAAAAATTATTGTATAACTTTACTGAAACGATACCAGAAAAAAATTGGATGGGCAAGAACTTGTGGGTTGAACTTAGTCCAAGCTCACCGTGTTATCCCGGCACACGAATCCTTCACTTCAGATTCGGTTTGATTAAAATCAATAATAATAATAGGTTTTTCTGATGCTCACAGTTTTTGGCTCTTATTATTAATAATTATACGGAATGCTCCTAAGAAGTCAATGCCTACTATGCCCGACTGTTTTAAATTAGGGACTTTTCAAATATTTAGTTCATTAGTTATACCCACAAAAGTAACTGGCACTGAAATTTCGTCTATTATGGGTTCAATATTACCGTCAGCTAACAGAAAACCGTTAAATTTGCGATTATTGAGTTTATTTTTATTTGACTCTAACATTGATCCCGTATCAACAAGTGCTTAAATTTCTGTATTTCCTATTTTAATTTTAATGTGGGGTCTCGAACGAATACCATAATCACTTAATTTATTTAGTTTATTCCTCCCTTGTCTAAACTGACAAGCTAAGTGGGGAGTAGGTTCAGGATGTGTAGTCTTCTGATAATCTATCGAGTCAGAAAACTGGTTTTTGTTATGCGGATTAGTATTCACTGATTCAAATTTACTTGTAGCAGGAGGTTCCGAAATTATATTTAATTTATGATCCAAACTGATCGTTTCACAAGTTAGTTTTATTTTATCCAAATTTTTATTATTTGGAGTTTTAATAATCGAACATTCCGCGGCTATTATCGATAACTCCTTTTAAGTGCGAAATTCGCGCCTATTAATCGAACGTTTAGTAAGTACAGTAAACAGCCCCTGAATATAAATTATGAAACTTGTAGTGGGCTCTTCCGGACCTTGGATTCAATTCACAATTAGTTTCTGGGTGAAAATAGTTTTCCCTGTCTGAAACTGGTTTAAAAGAAAAGTTAATTTAATTTGCAAACTGATCCAGTACTGTCCCAGGCTTGGGTCAACTCTCAGCCGAGGCTGCGGCAGCTTCAAAGTCAATTAGATTTTAATTAAACGTTGTCCCGACGATGTGCAAAAGAAAAATGAAATAACTGTCATTAGTAGACTGAAAGAAAAACCGTACAAAACAAAAATCATCAATCTCTGCAATCGAAAACCGACTGCTTAGTCGAATCCTCTGGATTTTATTAATTATAAGCAAAAGTGAACTCAAGTTCTAAATTTAATTTTACTTTATTGTAAAATTTTTGATGTTCAATTGATTCTCGAATGACTTTGTTGTTTCTATGATACAAGAATTCGCTGAATAGATAGAAGTTTAGTCAATGTACTTGCCAACTCTTCACAGTTTCGAACATAGATCGAAATTTGTTTTATTTTTATTTTAGTTATATTTTGCAATATTATCAGCCAATTCTCACAGCTATAAGAAAAACAATTCACTGAACATTTTTATAAAATTCAAATTATGACTGAAAAATCCCGA